GGGGGGGTTTAAGTACTAAAGAGATATGAAGCATTGCTTCTTTGTATCCTGCGAAGGAGCAACAGCTGTACTTCATTTTAACTTGATGTGCTTCAGAACTCATATTCATATAGGTATTTAATGATCCAAACATAATGGTCCTATATAGTATAATTACTTGTATGAAGGCTCAACTTCATATGTAATCTTTTTAAAAAGATTCTTCAGTGGAAAACTTGCTTTGGTTCTAACAATGAAAAAGCTCCTTAACAGTGAAGATGCTTTGGAGGGGTTGGACTACGGATCTTGAGCACAGTTGACAATCAAACAGTGTTATTCCTTCTTGACAGACTCCTCGTTTCTTCCTCCTTCACAATATAGCCAATATAAAGAGAACAGATAGAGTGCAAGACAAACCATCAAATCGTAGTGGTAGAGTGTTGCAGCAAATAGAAGAAAGACGAAGAAATACAAGATTTTGCAAGCAATATGTTTTAAACCTGGAGATTCATTAGGTAACTTACGTGCTTCACTCTTCTGGTTAGAAATACCTGTAGAATCAGAAATGTGTTGGCTTTCCTTTTGTGAGTCATCAAGCCACTTTAGTGTTTTCCCCTCAGTTATTAAATGGTCAGATTGAGAGCCTGTCCCTCCAGCTTCTTCAGTAGCCTTACTAATTAAAACCTCTGGCCTCAGTGACTTCTCTTGTTTGAACTCTGCTTGATGGAAACATTGATCTATATTCCTTCCTCTTCCTTCTCTAGAAATTGCTATGTCTGAAGTGGAAGGTACTTCTTTTTTTTCAGCTTCAGGAGAGAGGTTTTTATTAATACATGTCATTTCATTTGGTAGGTTTAAATCATACCCTGACTCAGCAGCAACCTTGTCAATGACTTTGAATTCAAAGTGTCTATGCAGATGCTCCATATTTCCTGCCACAGTGGAACCTTCAGAAGATGCCACTGAAGAGCTTTTGTAATGGTAACCAGGCACAGCATTTGTACCAGAAGGTGGCATTTTTGTTTCAGCTTTAGCATGTAAATAGGAAAGTGTACCAACACAGCTTTCTTCCCTATAGAGCTCTTCTGCTTCCTCACTGTATAGATGCTTCTGGGTGCTCAGGGAGGGACATTTAGATACTTCTGAATATAAACCCTGCTGCAAATCCTGTTTCCTTCCTGTAGCAGAAGCCTTCAGTGCTTCTCCTACAGGTAGAATATTGCCGATGTCTGGTTGTGCTTTGTCACATTTTTCCCTTCTATTGCATACAGACATCGTTTCTCCTTGCAGTGTTTCATGTACGCATGCATTATAAATACCTAAAACTGATTCCTTTTCAAATTCAGTGTCATATAATACACCCACTGTGTTGAGTTGACAAAGAGCATAATGTGAACCATCATTTCTCCCTTCATGTGTATCAAACGCTGTTTCCTTTTCCTCTGTGGGCCTGTCACTTACTGCAGTCTCTTGAGGTAGCTTAGCAATTACTGCTTTTTCACTGGCAGACATTTTTTCTGAAGCACTTTCTGATGTTGTTTTAATTATATAAGCTGTACCTGCTTTTGCTTCCTCTGCAATACCCTGCCCGGAGACAGAAGACTTTTCACAACTCTCTGCCTCCTGGCAAATAAACAACTCCTTTGTGGAAGATGTACTCCAAGGCCCTATGTTCCCCCTCGCTCCCCACCGAACCTCGCTACCCGTTTCCTGCCACCTCTGCTCCACGGGGTTTGCTTCATTTTCCTTTCCTATCAGTCTTCCTTTATTTGTGTTGTCTGACTTTCCTCTGTCTTTTAACCTTGTGAATACTCTGTGTTCCCGAGTGTCTTCAGCTCTCCTTTCATCCCCCAGAGAGGATGCCGGGGGATCTGCCTGTGCAGGCCTGGGTGCCTGTTTGTTGTCTTCAGCTGACAGAGGCATTGTGTTCAATGCTTTGGTGGCGTGTTTTCTATGTGACTTCAAAGGCTTGGGTGCTTCCTCCTCACCGATTAGTGCTAAGTCGGCTACTTCAATGACTTTCTTCTCCTTCCCTGCATCAGTGTTATAGTTCTTTCCTGACATTTCACCAACTCCATTTTTTTGCCTATATTGGCTTTTTGTGGAATCTATTGAGACATCAGCATGTGCAAAAGTATCGGCATATAAATCTCCTCTTAAATGTACCTGAACTTTGCTTTCAATCATCTTGATTTTTCCTTCATTTTTGTCAGCATCTGACAACAATGAATCCAGAGTTTGGTGAGCCATTTGTGGTGCCTGGTGCTCTGGAGCTGGATTAGCATTGCCATCCAGTGTCCCTGCTATGCATGCATTTAATTGCATGGATTCATCATGCTCTGGAGAAATGGATTCTGGTCTCACCTCACAGGCCCCTTTAGAGGTATCAGCAGTATCCTCACTGATGAATAACCTCTCCATCATCTTAGTTCCCAAGATGTTATCTGCTTCACCTTCTGAAATATCTGTGTGGATCTCTCCTTGTCGGCTTGAGACTGTAGCTGTGATATCGATAGCCTCATTCTGCTTTGTCCCCGGAAAATATTTTCCCAACAAAAGTCTTTCACTTGTAGGTTCCAAAGTATGTTCCAAAGAGCTCTCACTGCTGTTTACTGAGCCAGCAGTGACTTCCTTCCCTGATGGCTGACTATTATAATCTCTTAGGGAATACTTATCTTTATCTTTTAATTTTCCTTTTATCTCTTGAGAAGTGTTTTCAGATGAGGAACTCATAGGCACAGGGTGCAAGTCACTGCTTCCTTCTATACAGGTTAGCTTTTTCTCCAATCTTTCAGTTTCACTTGTAAAATTAACTGGTTCTGTTTTGTATAAATTCCTTTCATCTCTGGAAGAGGTATCTCTAGCTCCTGTGAAGTGCTGATTTAGCTGAAACAATAGGATAGAAAAGAATGATCAAAAAGCAATTTGCAAAAATATGCCAAATGAAGGAAGAAGAATTTTTTTATGAAAAGTTTTGTTTTCAGAAACAAAGCTTCTATGGAAACATGTTCCAAACCATTTGCAAAATTTGCATTGTATGTATTTTTTAACATAGGTAATGAGCTTTATGGTGATGCTGAAAAAAGCAGGAAATAAAACAGCATTCAGAACCCTCTCTCTTTATTCATGAATTCAGTAAGCCGCTAGTGCATTTTACACAAATTAAATCTGAAGAGAATATTCCCTTAAAGGGAGGCTAATTCATTCTCTATACATTCAGTTCTAGGTTTGAAGAGAGGAAGGCGTGAGGCAAGGGAGGAGGATCGGTGTTTAAATGAGGACACTGATACAGTACATCAAAGCCTGGTAATGTACGGTATTGTCCAGTAAAACAAAGACACATTTCACACTGACAAATACTGTAAGGATTATCTGTGCTTCATTTCTCTCAGGGACCATTTTACAGGCTTCAAACCAGCCTGGTTTTAGACAATCTGGTAAGACATGAGTTGGAAATGAGATTAGCGAAGTAAAAGGCCAGAAACTAATCACTCTCCCTCCTAGCTCCCAAATATCATATTGTATTATTCAGCTATACCTGCTTGTCATTGCACTCTCTTCTCACTTTAGCATAGTCACACTGATAGCACTAGCTGATCAATTAGAGGCTAGGTTCTTGGGCACCCCTTTATGCATTTGCACTTGCTGTAGATACAACCATTACAGTTTCTCTTATTAATATGTTTTCTGCAAAGCCTCTGCAAACTATTAATAGTAAAACGTCACTCAAAGAAAAGTGAGGGAGCTAATGTCTCTGCAAATTCTGTTTTAATGACCCTCTGCCAACCAGTGCTCAAGTGTATTTGAGTTCTTCGGTGATGCCAACTGTCAGGATTTAACAGTGAGATGCCTGTGTTTTTTTCCCCTCCTCATAACTGACATTTGCATGATCTCAATAATTATATGCAAATCTTACGATTTCCCCTTCTTCTCACATAAGGCTCATGTTACTTGTCAACTGCACAGCTGTCTAGTGAGCCAATGCCTGTGCATTTCAAAGATTTGGTTGTATTTCCATCTATTATAAGCCTTCATTGTTTAATTCATTAAAGAGCGCATAGTGCAAATTAACATCTAAATTATAGCTCCCTCTTCATTTATTGTATGGACAATCCTGGCAATTGATAAACAAACGGTTAAATTTGATCCTGCTGTTTGTAACAGGGTGAACTGAGAACAACAAGGGATTTTAAAGGTCCTCCTTTTTATGTCTCACCAAAAAAAAAAAAAGAAGATGTTGACTTTCAGGCAGTGAAAGGTCCAACAATAGGCAACAATTTTCAACTTTTTTTTAAGTAAAAGACAAGAAAAATTTATATTCAAATAAGGGGAACTTATTCTCTCTCTATCAATAAGAAAAAAAAAAAAGAATGGTTTTCATCTTCCTCCCCTGTCTGATTCAGCATTCACATTTTCACAGGTGAAGCTATTATAATCTATGATTATGAATCTATGCACCCAAATGATATGAGCTGAGAACAGACACTGAGAATAATAGATTGCTGTACGTGTCTCATTTATTGCCATTTTTTCTTTCATACTGAAAAATGCAAGCCAAACCACACATACATGCACACACACAAATCCAAATAGATTGAATGTTTACTGAGTGTAAAATTTATTATAAAAAATACCGATAAAGAAAAATCTGCTAATATAAATATATATTTGTTTTGCTCATGTAGCATGTTACATACTTATCGTTTGAAAAACCCCAAAAGCAAACAGTGCCATAAATACAATTTTACCCAATATAGAGCATTTATTTAAGAATATTTCCATCTTAGAGACTAGGAGGGGAGATTTTTTTAAATGCTACTATTCTAATTCATTCAAACTGTCATTTAGAGCCTCTGGTAAAGAAGTAAAAGGGAGAAGTCATTAATTTAAGACCAGAAAAAGTTGATGCACTATACTGAAATCAAAGCACCTTCTATTGTTGAATCAGTTAGAGATTCAATGAAAGTACAGACCAAGGCTTTACATTTGTAAATTAGTACATCAGTCAGCTCTGTTAAAAGGGGGCATTTCACCAGCTTTGAAGCACAAATGGATTCAAATAATTTAATACTGTAGATATAATTGTATAACACTTACCAGCAACTCTAATTCTTTTTCATCATCTTCATGATCACTTGGGTTGTATTCTGCATTTTTATCTTTTATATTTTCATTAACTGGTTTGGTGTCTTTGTCTTCAGCTTGTGAATAAACAATCTCTGGGATGTTTGTGTCTGAAGAGTTAACAAAAACATACTTGAATAATTTCCATGAGGTTGTTTGTTACATTATTTTTTAATTAACATGTGCAGTAAGGAAGAACTAATTAAACTGGATGTTGTACCTGAAGTCCTTGAATTATTCCATGTGTCATCATCAGACGTTGCCAATATTTCTTCTTTGCTGTTAAACAAAAAGAAACTTTCTGTGTTATTCTGAAAAAAATAGTTCTAATACCTTTTAGACTCAGATATAAAGACTGTAAGTTAATTACACAAAATTTTGAATGATGTTTGAAATTCTGTAAAAAACAGCTTTACAAAATGTAGCGCTTTTTGAGTGACCTGATATTAAGTCTCGACCAAAGAAAGAATTGGCCAAGAAAATGAAAATGTGTTGACCTTCAGATTAAATTGTAAAGCTGATTGGTTTTCCCAGGCCTTTTCTGAGAAAGCAGCACAAAGGTGATTAGATGGGTCAGTGACAGAAAAGCGCAACTTTGGGGTCAGACAAGGGTCTGGAAGGATATATGTGTTCAGGAGACCAGGCGTCTCTCTTGTTCATATTTTTCAAATATTTCTATGTATACAGAGATCACTGGAAAAAGACATCTTTGTTACCTAAAATAAATCAAAAGATTCTCCCTGCATGTATACAGTATAAATTCTGTTGCTAAGCTATGCCTGGCTGGCAGGAACAAATCCTGCTTCCCTGCAGCCAGTGCAATTTTTGCTGTTGCTTTGCTGGCTGTGAAAACAAAGGCCAGGTCCAACATGACAAACACCTACAGAGAGATGCTCAGTGCCTGCAGACCTCATCAATACCAATGCAAAGTGATAGCAGTTTGAATTGCATGCTTATAGGAATGTAACCTTTAGTGGAAACGGGGAAAAAAAATATAAAAAGAATGTCACTTATGTAAAATGTAAATTATTATACCACTCCTAATGACTTCTCTATGAGGAGCAATTTTTTTTTCTGTAGGTCTTAATTTATGCATTTTTCAACCAGTCGTCCACCTCTGTTACAGAAAATTACTTTCTAATTTTCAAATATTAATCTTTTCCCCTTCTATTTTCTCCTAGCGTCTTTCATTTGAATTGATGTAACATTAACTCTGCCACCTAAATGCTTAATTCAGAAGGAGGATGCTAAATTTATACTCTGTCAAAAGAACCTAGACATCGTCTGTCACCAACTTTTTAAAATCCAGCCTTTATAGGGATTGCCAGACTAAAGAAGACAGAAGATCCTGCCAGTCTAGCACCTAATCTCTGATGCTGGCCACCATCAGATACTTCAGGGGAAGATGTAAAGTTTTTGTAGGAAAATACTTGATTTGCACTACTCTATTAAATTTCCTGTTGGCCTTTTGTTGTTAGAAGCTGTCCTTGAAGCACAAGATTCCATGCTCTCTCAACAGCTCTTTTTCACCATTAATTGCAATAATGCTGAATATTCTTGCTATCCATCTGAATGTCATGTCACTCTTGAATTCGGGTCCATGCTTAGCCTCTGAACGTTTCTCACTTCCCTACTCACACTGAGTTGTACTTTCCCCTGCCATCAGTTGCTATAATCTGCAGTTCATCATGAAAAGGCTGGCAGAGCCTTTATTTTCAGTAGTCTGTGGTGCTTTTAAGGTAAATCATTACTGCTTATTATTTATACATCATTATGCTTTTTTATTTTACTGTTCAAATGCTTGTCCTAGGGTTACATCTTGTTCCCAACTTTCTTCTGCCCTTTTGCATCTTTTTCACCTACCTTCTTCCATGAGACTGTGTAGGTTGGGGCTTTACTGTGAGACAAATGCATTAGAGCATTTAGGTTCTAATAGGTCGTCTGCAAAAGCCCTGAATTAGGAGCCAAAACAGGTATAACACTGAATGGAGTCAGTCAACCCAAAATAATGACCCCCAAACCACATGGGCACAGCAGGAAACCTTCTACTGCTATCCAGTGGGGGGGAAAAAAAGAGTGTCTCAAAGCTTTTCTTAAAATCTAACTGGCTACCTGCAGCTTTTAGCCATGTGGATGCAAGTCTCAGGAAGCAGGAATAGCATCCTTTGATGCTAGAAGGGGCCTCATCTTAAAGGAATGGAGTTTGACACAGTTTTTTCTGTCAAGAAGCATTCCCAGAAGAAGGGGAGATGATAATGCCCATATCTAACATAATAGCACATTGGCAGCCAGAGCTGGCATCCAAGATGCAGTGGTACTTTCAGCTTATATCACACCCTGATGAGATGAAAAACCAGACTGCACACACATCCAAAAAGTACCCGAATTATCAGGATGCAGACTGTTTTAGGAGAAACCGAAGGGCAGATTTCCCTACTGCTCTTGAAGTTGGATGTAAAAACAGGACCCTCACTCTTTAGCTTACTCTACATTCCTTTAAGAAAAGAGAAATTCTGGATTCTGTCTCTTGTTCCTTGTGTTCCACATCCAGCGATTATTTTTGGTTTGGATTACCAACTTTTCAGTGTAAAATACAGACATAGTTTTTGAAAAAGGATGCTAAGAAGGAGCACCTATTTCTTCAACCTTTAAATGAGCAAGTATAAAACTGCTTCAAGCTGGATGCTTATGGGCATGTGCCAGAATGGGGTCTACCTTATCTAGCCTTAGTTTTCTAAGCACCTGGGCTCAGGCAGTCACATACATCACCCCTATCATCAGCAATGAGAGGTTAACAATTCTGAAGGGAGATTCTTTTCCTCTGTCATGGACACCATGAGTGAGATGGAGTGACATATCCTTCAAAGGAGGTTCTTTGCCTCTGGAAGAGACTGACCGTAATAGGAACCTACAGTGACTACCCTAGGCTGGAACCATACATTTTAGATAACTGAAATTAGCTGAATGAATCTCATCTTGTAACTCTAAATTCAAACTGTAACATAGCTACTGAGTTTTAAGTGGCTGGAGCTGTAACACACAGTGTATGACCTGAGCATCTCAGTTTTACTTTTGTTGTGATGAGATTTGAATTTGTCCTTAATTCTTGTTCTAGCAGCATCTAGAGCCCTAGTCCACAAGTTTCTTTTCACAGCTGCAACACAGGTAATAAATAGTGATGATAATGCAGCCTCACAGCCTGGATCCACACTGCAGGGCTTGTAACATAACTTCTTTCATGTTGCACTGAATTTTATAAAGATGGATGGTTTATAGACCATTATTTGTGTACACCTGTCCTGCAAATAGCCAAGCGCAGGGAAAGTCAGCATAACAGCTATTTTCCTTATTTTACTTCTACATCAGAAATATCTGTTATCATATAATATCTAGTGGCAAATCTAAAATTAACCTAAATTAAGGATATTGATACTGCAGTATTTGAGGATCATGAGGAGCATAAACAAATAGTCATTTAACAGCACTACTTAAATGTAAGTCATACAAAGATCTGAGACTACAGGTGCATACAACTACAGAAAAATTTCAAACTTACATATACACCTTAAAGACTGAGACACTTTCCAAAAGCCAATAAAAATTACCCCCTTCATCAAACAGTGTCAATTAAAGGGTGTTTGCCTAGTTAGTAAGGTTTCTGACTCAACGTTTTTTCTCCATATTTCTCTGAAAAGTTCCTAGCTCACTATCACAATTCCATGACCAGATTTTTTAATTATAATATTAATTAAGCTTTTGCTTTGTAAATCAGTTATCTCTCTGTTGTGCTGGGTGGTCTAAATGTGTCTACTTTGTGTAGGGAGAGACAAAAAAATTCTTAAAAATGTTTACTTCTCAGTAAGTGATCCAGGCATTCTGACAACAATGAGAGCTAGAAAAATCAATTGTATCAGCGATTGCAGTTTCCATCCAGCATAAGTAGCTGTATACCTGCAGAAGCCCAATTGTTTTTTCTTGTTCAGCTGCATGGGACACATCTTCATAAAATGCATCATGAATTTAGGAATTTCTATGAGCTTAAAAAACCCCACCTTATGCTTATATGATTCATTCTTGATGGAATTATCATTCACTTGGACTGAATGATAAAAGAAAGCAGGAATAAAAACAGGTCATCACTGTACTTTTGCATTTAGAAAGAACAAATGGGAAGTTCAGGGACTAGTTAGTAGGACTGAGATGACTGAAAACTTGATGGACATTATGCAAAAGTGTTCAGAAGTCCAAAAGTTATGTGGAACTGGCATCCCAAAAAGAGAAAAAAAAGTTAAACTTGAACCCTAAAGATGTGGAGTAGTTAGACAATGTGATGAGAAAAACAAATTAATTAGCCAATAAACAATATTCCTTTGACTTCAGAAAGGGCGGAGATAAAGTAAGACATGTCAAGATTTTTTTTTAAATTAAATAGTAATTTTTTCTAGAAGTGAGGTTTGATAAATATTTCAGATAATCTATGTATAACCCCACAATGAGAAGCCTTCTAAACTTTTCTACCACAGTGCTAGGAGTGGGGCAGAATCTTATAGGAACAGAGATCTTACAGGGCATAACTGTTAGGAATGGAGATTTAGAAAATCATATTATTTCATGCAGTCTGGGAGCAGAACTTGGTGTTTAAATATGCTCTAATTAAGAGGAGCAGATAATCTCCAACCCAAAACAGAGACTGAGCAGAGGAAATCACACATTGGTTTAAAATCTTTGTTATTCAAATCTATCAAATTGGAACTGATACTACTGTAGCAGTATCAGAAGAGTAGGAAAAGTAGTAGCTATATCTAGGAAAAAGAAGAGTAGTGTCAGGGCAACCAAGGCCCAGGTGACTTCAGAAAGTTTTCACAACAGATTTAGAATAAAACTTAAATGAAAGAATAAATACAGATAAATGGAAAATGGCATAAAACCACCAGAATCACTTCATACTATTTGTCTTTGATAAGATTACTATATTTCCCTTGTCTAAAAATCAGTTATCTAATCTATCTGGACTTCATTAAAGCATTTGTTGTGCAGCCACATGGGAAAATTATTAATTAAATTGGAGAAGAGGGAGATGAGTACAAGAGCTGGGTGGTGGGAGAGGGGCTTGGTGCCGAGTGGGGGCCCACGAGCTGGGCTGCACGGAGCTGACAGACATCACAGAGGAATTGGAAAGGACCGGTTGTGTAATCAGACTTACTCAGTCATGTTATTAAAGACCAAGGCACAAAAAGTCAAAGTTAAATTAAATCCGCAGCAGATAGGAAGTTGGGAGA